GGGATTCCAGCCTGATTCTAGTGGGATTCCAGAGGAATTCCAGTGGGATTCCAGCCTGATTCCAGCAGGATTCCAGTGGGATACCAGGCTGATTCCAGCAGGATTCCAGCCAGACTCCAACCTGATTCCAGCCTTTGGATTCCAGCCCAATTCCAGCCTGATTCTAGTGGGATTCCAGCAGGATTCCAGTGGGATACCAGGCTGATTCCAGCGGGATTCCAACCAGACTCCAGCCTGATTCCAGCCCTTGGATTCCAGCTGGATTTCAGCCCAATTCCAGCCTGATTCCAGTGGGATTCCAGCCTGATTCCAGCGGGATTCCAGTGGGATACTAGCCTGATTCCAGTGGGATTCCAACCAGCTTCCAGCCCTTGGATTCCAGCAGGATTCCTGTGAGATTCCAAGCAGATTGCAGCCCAATTCCGACCAGATTCTACGTAGATTCTGACCCTTGGATTTCAACTGGATTCCAGCCTGATTCCAGTGGGATTCCAATGGGATTCCAGCCCGATTCCAGCCTGATTCTAGTGGGATTCCAACCATCCCAACCATTCCCAACCAATCCAGCCCTTGGATTCCAGCTGGATTCCAGCCCAATTCCAAGCAGATTGCAGCCCTTGGATTCCAACCTGGTTCCAGCCCAATTCCAGCCTCATTCCAGCCCTTGGCTCTGTAACTCCCTTTTCCTTCGTTACCAGCCCCCGTTATTCCATTTTTAAGGTTATTTTCGGTGTTTTTATTCCAGGCAGGAAACTGTCCCTTCCCTCCCCTTTGTTCCTCTCAGCCTCGGGTTCAAAAGAATTAAAATAATAAAAAAAAAAGAGAATAATAAAAAAGCCACAACTGTCACTCAACTATGCACGTGGAGATCCTGCGGGAAACGTCCCTCCCGGCAGGAATTCCAGGAGTTCCTGTTCCTGCAGCTCCTGAAGGATCCCTGGAGCTTTTCCCCGTGTGAGTCATTCCCGTCCCATTCCCCCGGCGCTGGGAAAGGCTCCCGGGGCAGGAGGAGGAGGGTTGGGCTCCGGGGGGGGTTTATTCCCGGTGTTATGCCCAGCTCGGCATTCCCGGCCGGAGCCGAGGGAGGAACTGCGGCTCCCGAGCTCCCAAGCCGCGGATTCCCGGGTGTTTCTGGGGATGGGGAGGGGGGATGATCCCGTCCTGCCTTTCCCAAGGCCCTCCCAGCCCCGGTTTTCCTGAGCCTGCCTTTCCTTTGTCCGGGTGGTGCCAAATCCCACGTTTCCCCGCCTGCTCCGTGTGTTCCTCTGCTGATCCCTGTCTGCATCCAGCCCCTTTTCCCGGTTCTGTCCGTGTCCAGTCGGATCTGTTGGATTTGTTGGCAGTCATTAAAACGGTGAGTGAAGCCTTTGCTCCGGTTTCTTCTTCCTTTTTCCAGGAGCTCTCCCAGTTTTTGGTGCTTTACCGGAGAAGGGAGGGAAGAGCTTGGATGGGAATCGTTGGGATGGGGAGATTCCTTGTGCTCTTTGATGGGAATGAGGTGGAATTCTCGGCACAGAGAGGTTCCCTGAGCTCCATCCACCCCCACTGCTGGGGTCTGCTCCTCCCAAAGACTTGGGCTGTGCTGCAACATTCCAGGAATCCCGTTGTCCATGGGATTCTTGGCAGGAGGATTTACCTGTTGACAGCCCAAATCTGGCTGCTGAGATCCCGGTGGGAATTCTGCTGTGGGATGGAGGTGGCACCTTTCAGGGGACGCTTCCTTAGAATTCCAGGATAAATTCCTTGTGGGAGCTCTCAGCAGCTCCAGGGAGTGTTTCCCTCCTCTGGAATTTTTTCCAAGCTCCCTGGAGCTCTGTCTGCCCCAAAATTCCCTTTGGAATTTTTTCCAAGCTCCCTGGAGCTCTCTCTGCCCCTAAATTCCCTTTGGAATTTTTTTTCCAAGCTCCCTGGAGCTCTGTCTGCCCCCAAATTCCCTTCCTGGTGCCTTCCCTCCATGGGATAACTCCTCCTTCCTCATTCAACCCTTTCCAGGTGCTCCGACCAGGAATTTTTTGGGTTTGGGACCCCCTTCCCCCCCCCATCCAGGAGCACAGCTCCCAACCCCAGGGTGATCCAGGTGGGATCCAAAGATCCAGGCGATCCAGAGAGTTGGGAATGGGTGCAAAGGATGGGAAGCGGCCCTGGATCCAAGCTCTGGGAAGCGGGGAAGGAAGGACACCCCGGCCATGCACATTCCTTTATTGTGTTTTCCTACCAAAGTGAAGCTGGAAGGGGAGATCTGTGCAGGGAGCAGGGAAAGGAGGATCCGGGGATTTCCAGGGATCACCTATGGATTATTTACAAACAGAGAGAGCAAACGCGGCTCTAAAGTAGCAGAACGAAAATGTTTCAAGCAACCATTTCCTCTTTATCCAGCCCATTCCCATTCCTGGGCCGGAGTTGGGGTTCCCTCCCCCAGCCCTTCCTGCCCAAGGAATTCCCACCATTCAGGGCCCCAGAGAATCCCAGGAATTCCTGATTTCTCCTGCCAAAGGGTCGATTCCCGGGAAGGGCTGGGGTGGGTTCCCAGGAGCCACTCGGAGGTAACTCAGCTTCCTCCTCCCCCAGAAATTCCAGCTTGGATGAATCCAGCCCCGATCCAAGGGCAGGAATGGGCTGTGGAGGGATGGCCAGGGGGGAATTCCCATCCCTGCCTCCCAAATTCCCTCAATATTCCTATTCCTGGCTGTGTCTTGGTGTCAAACCTCCCGTGGAATGCTGAGAACGGGGAGTTTTCCTTGGGGAAAAAAAAAAAAAAAAAAGAGGAAATGGCCACGAAAGGGAGCAGGACGTTGAGTTCAGCCCCTTCCTAGTTTGGGGTGAAAAGAGGCGGATTTGGGGCGGTCATAGAAAAAGTGGGAGCAGTGATGTGTGGAGGGGGTGGTTCTTCCTTTGGCTCTGCTCAGCAGAACGGAGAGACGGGAATGTTTCCTGGGAAAGGGAGAGAGAACAGGGAGTTAAACACCCCCAGGGCAGGGACACCTTGGCCTTCATCCCTGTGGCGATGAGGATGGAGAATCCCACATCCCACCCTTTGCCTTGGCCTTCATCCCTGTGATGATGAGGATGGGCCTAATCCAAGGGGATGAGGTTCCACCACTCCACATTCCAGGTCCTGCCCTTTGGCCACAACAACCCCCTGGAGCTCCAGGGGTGGGGACAGAGGGAGGGGACAGGAAGGGACCCGGGGGTTGGATGTGAGCCCAGGGGGGCCCCTCTTGGCATCCTGGCATTCCTGGATAGGGAATGATGTGGCAGCAGGACCAGGGCAGGGATTGGGCACTGGGGAGGGGCACCTGCAGGGCTGGGCCCGGGTCTGGACCCCCAGGACGGGAAGGACATGGAGGGGCTGGAGCATGTCCAGGAAAGGGAACAGAGCTGGAAAGGGTCTGGGCACTGGGAGAACTGAGGGAGCTGGGAAGGGGCTGGAGCACCAGGAGCAGCTGAGGGAGCTGGGGGGGCTCATCCTGGAGAAAAGGAGGCTCAGGGGGGACCTTCTGGCTCTGCAACCCCCTGACAGGAGGGGGGAGCCAGGGGGGTCGGGCTCTGCTCCCAGGGAACAAGGGACAGGAGGAGAGGGAACAGCCTCAGGCTGTGCCAGGGGAGGGTTAGGTTGGACATCAGGAGGAATTTCTTCCTAGAAAGGGTGGTCAGGCCTTGGCAGGGGCTGCCCAGGGAGGTTTGGAGTCCCCATCCCCGGAGGTGTCCAAGTAAGGCCTGGACGTGGCACTCAGTGCTCTGGGCTGGGGGACAAGGAGGGGGACAGGTTCAGGGTGCACTTGGTGGTCTCAGAGGTCTTTTCCACCCTAAATGAGTCCGTGATCCTGTGGGACAGACCCAGCTCTGCTCATCCTCCTCCTCATCCCTCTCCTCCCTTCCCCAGCCCTTTTTTGGGATGATCCCCCTCATCCCCAACCCTTTCTCTGGGATCGAGCTCGCTCTGCTCATCCTCATCCTCTTCCCCAATCCCTTTATGGGCTCGAGCCTCCTCTGCTCATCGCCCTCCCCTTCCCTCCCTTTTCCTGGCATTCCTGGCATTCCTGGCATCCCCATTCCCAGTTTTCCAGCCCCACTCCCCCTGTACCTTCCCGGGCTCAGAAGAGGCCGCAGTCCTTGAGGTTCTCTTTGATGATCACGTCCGTGACAGCGTCGAAGACGAACTTGACGTTCTGGGTGTCTGTGGCACAGGTCATGTGGCTGTAGATCTCCTTCACGTCCTTCCTCATGTTCAGGTCCAGGAACTGGGTCTTGATGTAATTCCCAGCGTCCTCGAACGTGTTGGGGCCTGTGCAGGGAGGGAGGGAATGTTCTGGAGTCATTCCCGTGGGGAGAAGCTCTGGAGAAGGGCTGGGGGTGACCACGCCCGGGGAAAACTTGACAAACGTGGATTTATCCGGTGTCCAGCCTTCCAAACACCCTCCCGAGAGCACAGCGCTCCCCTCCTCTGCTCCAGCCTCCAGGGATCGGACCCAGCACTCCAGGGAGGGGGATGGAGATGGTTCTACTCGTTCTCATCCTCCCCCTCATCCTCCTCCCCTTCCTCAGCCTTTCTCAGGATGGAACTGACTCTGATCGTCCGATCCCTTCCCCAACCCTAATTTTTGGGATGGAACTGACTCTGCTTATTCCCCTCCCCTTCCCCATCCCATCCCATCCCATCCCATTCCATCCCATCCCATCCCATCCCATCCCCTCCCCTCCAGGCCCACGTGACCCCCCCTCCCCTGCTCTGGGGGGGTCTCCAGGGGGATGGGAATACCGGGATTGCTCTGGACTCACCATCGTACTCTGGGAAGCAGATGCTGAGATGGACCTTCTTGATCTTCTCCTCGAAAAGGTCCTTCTTGTTGAGGAAGAGGATGATGGAGGTGGCTGCGAAGAACTTGTGGTTGCATATACTGTTGAAGAGGTGCAGGGACTCGTGCATCCGGTTCTGCAGGGAATTGTCAGGGATTCACACCCCCTCTGAGCCCCCCATTCCCAAAAAACCCAGCCTTTCCCTGTTTCCCGCAGCAGTGGGTGGTGCTGCTGCCATCCCGGTCCCTCCTGCCCACCCAAAATCCCAGATGGATCCTCAGGGGAGGACAATGCCCTGATCCCCCCTGGGATCATCGGAAAGGAGGGATGGTGGTGGGAACGTGATCCATGGAAACCTCGTGGCCTGCAGGGAAAGGGCTCATTCCCTTCAGCCCCGTTCCCCTCATCCAGGGGATGCTCCGCTGGGCTGTGGCTCCCATGGCTTTGGGAAGGAGCTGGGAAAAGGAAAAGCTCCGGTCTGGGTGTGGGTGTGACAATCCTGGGGCATCCCACGGGGATGGGGATCCAGCCGGGCAGAGCCAAGTGTGACCAGGGGCTTTTCCTGCTGGAAAGGGGGATCCTCCAGCCTTGGGGGGTTCTCCAGGGCTCACAGGGATGGTTTTCCCTCCTCCAGCTCCCCAGGGCAGCAGCTTTTCCATGCGCAGAGCCCAAATCCTGCCCAGTCCTCCTTGGGAAAGCATCCCAGGGCTCCCGTGGGAAGGATCCTCCCTCCTCCTGTGTGTGGCTGAGCTCCCACCCGGCCATGGAGATGCCCCAGGATGGCAGATCCCAACCCTGCCCCAGCTCCCGGAGGTGTTTGGATCCCAGGGAATGCCCAGGGAAGCCGGAGGAGCTGGAGCAGCTCCCGCTCTCCTCGTCTTCACCCCTCGGCTCCCGTTTCTCCCCAGGAATGCCCCGTTCCAGGGGTTCCACATTCCTGCTCTCCCGATCTCTGCCCTCTCCCAGGGCTCTGCCGGTGAATCCCAGGGGGACACCCTTGGATAATGTCCCTGTGCCACCATTCCCAGCGCTGCCCTTTGCCCCCTCTCTGCTCCCCTGGGGGGCACAGGGAGGCCCCTCCCGGCTGGATTTTCCTCCATCCCACCCATTCCTGGCTCTTCCTGCCCTTCCCTGTTCTGGTGTTTTGGTTCTCCGACGGCTCTTGGGAGCAGGGAACACCAGGAGCCACTCGGGAGCTTCCCAGGGAGTTTCCTCATGGACAAACCCTGGGATCTGGGATCCAGAGGAAGCCCCAACGCCTGCCCTGGGAACAACCCGGCAGGAACCAGCACTTCCT